ATCACAGGCAAGAGATTTGGGCATGTGATGGTACAGACAATAGAAAGGATCCTCTGCTTGGGAAGAGCCGAGGGCTGAATGACAGAGCCAAAGAAAGCGGCCTGCCTGACAATGAGCGTCAAGGTGGGGCCATGCTAGTCTGCACTTCTGCAATGCCAAAACATACAAGGAGCCGGCCATTCAAAAGTAGGGCTACTCAACAATAGTCCTTTTTAATAAGCACATGATCTGTAATGGATAATTCAGGAGAGGAATAAACTCATTTGGATGTATTGCTTATGCACTATTATCATCAGTGGAATGGTTAAGACCACAGGTTCTGGAGCCAAATTTGTCTGCATTTCATTCTATTTTCTTTAATGTGTAACTTTAGACAACTTACTTAATTACATTCTTCCTCAAGTTCCTCATCTGTAAAAGGCAGATAAGTTTTTTAAAGTTCCTGGCCAATAATAACTCATGAAACAAGTATTTCCTAAGCATCTGCTATGTGCAACAGTCACCTATTATTACTACTGGACCAAATGCAAGGGATTCTATGCTTGCTGCAGTGAAGGTATGAGGTGGAATTATTTTTCCTACTTGCAAAATAAAGTACTCTGAAGTCTTAATAAATGTCAGGAACAATTAGGTATTCTTTCGTTTAAAGAATTAATACTTATTCTCTACGGCTAATAAGAGTTTTCCCGAATAAGCTCTTCAAGAAAAAATTCCAGGGCTAGGGATGTAGCTCAGCGGCACAGCACCTGCCTGGCAAGCATGTGGTCCTGAGTTTGATTCCAGATACAGAAAAAAAAAAAAAAAGTTCCATGTTTAGGTTTAGTTTATATTAATAACGCTTTAATAAATTCAGAAATCTAAGAGGAACTAAAATTTGTAATGAGTAAGAGTACAAAATAACATGAAAAAATGTGACTTGGCTTCATCTAAAATAAAATTTGATGAAATGAAAGGTTTCATTCATTCAGGATAAAGTAAGTGGCAATAAACATGCAGTAAGTAACTCGGTATGTTCAGTTAACGTCAGCTACACAGGCCATTGTTAATGGTATCACAGTTCAGTCAGTTTGCACGGTTGTTTAGAAAGGAGTGGCATCTGCTTAGTGTGAAGGGTTTTGTCACTAACTGAACCAGCTAGCTTCACTCCATCCAAGGCAACAACAGCACGTTACACCCTCATGTCACAGAGATATTCTTGGTTTAAATGTGAACAGACCAGTGCAGTTTTATTATAAGTACTGGAAAAATAAAACTTACCAGATGGTAAGTTATCAGCATTATGTTAACTGTAAAAGAACAGCATATTTTATAGCTGGAAAATAACTTTGACTGTTATAATCAACATTCCTACACTGAGTTTAAAATAGGTTAATTCCATATTATAAGTTCAGATTCAAGAATACGATAGACAGCAATTACAGAAATAAGACAGCATAATAAATTCTTATTCTAGTCCATACACCAAATGGTATTAACTTACTGAACAGAAGAATTCATAGGTTTTGCAATTTCCATTATAGATAAATATCCAAAAAACATGGGATGACATTAAAATGATTATGAATACCGAAAGACGGAAAAATAAATCTAGTTGTTACAGTAGTTAATATCCTAAAGATTTATGAAATTAACTCAAAGGTAAGATGTCTGCTAGAGGACCCTAGTTGAGGTTAAAAATGTTTTGTTTTGTTTTTTTGGTACCGGGGATCAAACTCCAGTCCTTGTGCTTGCGCAGCAGGCAGCGAAACCACTGAGCTAAATTCCCCACCCGAGGTTAAAATGTTTTGCATTATTTAGTCAAATGGTATCAGAGCAATAAAAATTCTTTTATGCTCAACTGACTCTATTTTTTTTGTACAGGGGATTGAACTCAGGACCTTGTGCTTGCAGGGCAGGCGGCACCACTGAGCTAAATCAACTATTTTTTTAAAAGACACCAATGATATTGACTTTAATATAATGTACATACACCTTTTTCACATAAGTGTTTCTAAAATCTTATTTTCAAATTGCTTTTTTACGTAATAATTTAAGTTTTAAAGGAAACTGGCATTTATTTTTTGAAATTTTAATTTTTTATATTAGGTTTTCCCAAAGAAAGATACACCTGAGTGAAGCAAATAACTATTCAATCAACTTAGGAAGTAGATTACTAGATGGCTTGTTTTATGCTGGTGATCTGTTCAAAGCTCACTCCTAAAACACGATGTCCTACTGAAGAGAGGTACATAGTAAAACTTACGTTCACTAACATAGATTACAATTAGCCAAATGAATAAAGGGGGATTGGTTTTCCAAAGTTGTTTTTCTTCTTCAAGTTTCAAAATACAATAAACTTCTATGTTTTTCTACATTTTTCAAAAACTGAAAAATCTGAAGCTGTTGGGATGAGGATTCTTATAGAAGACACCCTAAAATGTATCAATTACTATTTAATTAATTGTTAGGAAATAACAGGTAGGGAGAAGGGTAGGAATGGAAAACTAGTAAAGGCTGACAAAAGTAAAACCTAACAATTTCTTGTATCTTTCTCTTACATATGAATTAAAATCTTAAAAGCATAATAAATTAAAATCAAAGACCTCCATGAAATGATTTTCAACTGAAAATTATGCTTTTGATTTTATAGCCTTTATACGCTTTTAAATAGCCTGAACTTTTAGTACATTGTCTGTTTTCTAACCATTTTATTCAAAGCTGCTAGTGCAGCAAATAAACACCACATGCTTTGATCTCATTAAATTACAACGCATAGTTCCTAGAGCCATAAATACCATGCTGTTCTCCTGCACCTCCCTCTCTGGCAGGGGTGGTCTGCTTCACATCACTATCTCCTCGGTGACCAACGCTGCTCAGATAAACGGCGGAGGCCTCGAGTGCTGCTCACAGATAGCATCGGGCCTTCCTCGCGATGCCATCATGGTGAACCCAGCACTCAGCACTGCAATACTCAGTGTATCTAACAAGTAAGTCTGAAAGGAATTCTACCTTATCATAAACCAATAACGTAACTGTTCTGGACAAAATCACAGAACAGTATAAAAGAAAAATGAACATTATCCTGGGGAAAATTAATGATTAACAGTTTTAACTGAGTGAGATAACCAATGTTAGTAGATTTGATTAGCTTTGCAAAAAGAAAGTCAAAAATAAAAAGTGTTTATTAAAAAGCTACATAAAATATACAAAATATAAAACTAGTGTACCTCAAATACATAAAATATTAAAAACTGGCTCTTAAAATATTTTATATTGCTCATGCTTGCCATTACTTAGACTTTGAAGTCAAAACCCAGCACAGTCTCTCCTGTAAGAACAACCTGGCTGCACAGACGCTGACACAAGGCTTTCTAGAGTGTCAGAGCCAGCCACCGTCTAGCCATCAACCGGTCCAGGTGGACCTGGCCGAGAGCACAAGGCCTGGGACAGAGGCAAGCTTTCCTGCAAGCGCCCCATCCACTCATGCCGAGAAAGAGACATTCTTCACCCTCTCAATAAATCTGCCAAGGGTCTGTCTCCATGGATTCACATGAGCTCCATCTAATCTTCAGGTCAGTGTCTTCAACTGTACGTTAGAAACAGAATAGCTTATTTTCTTACCATGAAACTTTTCTTTTTATTTAATGAAAAAACAATAATTACAGATATTTACAAGGTATACTCTTTTAGCAATAGTACAATAACTAACAGAATAAAGGTATATCAATAGTTTAATATAATCAGAAAATTTTTATGGATATTATTTAATTCTTAAATCACTAACAAAAATACTAAATATTGGATATTCTCTCTCATGTGGAAGCTAAAACAGTTGATTTTCATAGAAATGAAGACTAGTGCAATGGTCACTAGAGGTTAGGAGGGGGAAGGAGGAAGAGAAATGGAAGCTAAATAACAGGTATCAAAATACAATTATATGGAATATATTTTAATTCTGTACAGCACAGTAAGGTGGCCATAGTTTACAACAATTATACATTTTATAAAGAACTACAAGAGAGAAGAGTTCCAACACAAAGAAATGATAAATGTTTAAGGAGATGCTAGTTACCCTGATTTGATCATCACAGATTATATACTTATATCAAATACCATACTGTACCATATGTCCAATAATTATATGTAAAAAAATTTAAATGCTCCAAAGACAAACAGATACCTCACCAAAGAAGATATATAGACAGCAAGTCAGCATATGAATAGACTCACAATGTCACATGTAACCAGGGGGTTGGAGATCGAAATGAGACAGACACCAGGGCTGGAGTGTAGCTCAGTGGTAGAGCAATGCATGATGCCCAGGGTTTGCTCCCGGACTCCACAAACAAACAAAACCACCCTACATATGTAGAGTCACCAAACTCCAAAGCACTGCGAGCATGGAGCACTGGTGCAGGTGACACTGAGGGCTTACACAAGCTTCGGACAGGATCCAAGGAACTCTGTGCTTCCCACTTACTTGCACTGGAATCCAGACTGCTGGAGAAAACACCTGTTACACTGAATACAGTAACTTCAAATAATGAAATTCTATGTATATAAAAAGGTATAAATGCGTAGATGGGGGGCTTTTTTCCTTTTAAAAGCAGAATCCTAGCTGGATGTGGTGGCTACATGTCTATAATCCCAGAAGCTGAGGCAAGAGGACCACAAGTTCCAGCCCAGCCAGAGCAATTTATGGTCTGCACAAGATCTTATCTTAAGGGGGCAGGGTGGCAGGGTGAGGATTCGCTCAGTACAAAAGCCCAGGATTAAATCTCCAATTAAATACATAAATAAGCAAGCAAGCAGCCTCCTTTTGAGTCGAGATGACAATACTGTCCTAAATTAGTAGATAAATAATGCATCTGAACCCCATCATTCATTTTTTTTAAATCCCTTGAATTCAAAATGAATTGTGAAAAGATGGCTAGGTGAGGCTTGGTGTGTGCATTAGTCACTTCCCTATCACTGGGTCAAAATCCCAACACCCACAACTTAGAGGAGAGACGTTTACTTTGGCTCACAGTTTCCGAGTGTTCACTCCAGGCTGGGTGGCTTCAAGGCAGAAAAAGCATGGAGGAAAGGGCTGGAGGAGGACAGGTTCTCAACCCAGGTGAGCCAGGAAGCAGAGAGAAAAGGAAGACCAGGGATAAGACCACACCCTTCCGGGTCACGCCCTATGACCTACTTCCCCCAATCATGCTCCACCCCTAACAGCACTGTCTGCCATGAACTCATCAGTGGACCACTGATGAGTGCAGAGTCTCCGTGAGCCAATCTCCCTCCAAAAGCCTGGCCTCTGAACACATGAGACTTCTGGGGGACATTTTAGAACTAAACTGTAACGTGTGAAATCTTCCATTTTGAATAGATTTTTTCCTTGTCCTAAGTCAACTAGCCTAGTTAGAATTTGAATTCATAACCTTGGCCTTAATAATGTTATAGCCTGTTATTAGTCACTTTCCCTTTCCTGGGACAAAATGCCTGATAGCTGCAACTTAGAGGTGGAGAGGTTTATTTTGTCTCTTAGTTTCAGAGGGTTCATCACATGGCTGTTGGCTCCAATACAGAAACGGCATGGTAGAAGGGATGGAAGAGAGAAGCTACTTAACCCATGGCAGCCAGGGCCACAGAGAGAAGGGAGGGCCCAGGGACAAGAACTCACCCTTCCAGGCAACAGTCCTAGTGAGCACCTTCTCTAATCAGACCCCAGCTCCTATTCAGCTATGAGTTCATCAGTGGATGAATCCTCTGGTGAGTATAGCACCCCCACGCTGCAGGCACCTTCGAAACACCCTATCTCTGAACACGCAAGGCTTTTGCGGGACATTTTACATCTAAACCATAACACAGACTAACCAACCATAGAGTCAGAATCCCTCCAGGAATCAGATGGCATTCATGGATTAGTATGCTTTGACGATGATTTATTCACAAAGGAGTGGACAGGATACAAAGGAACATAAGGGTGGTACAAGTTGCAGGTCCCACAGAAATGGAGCTGTCACCATTCCTAGGCCCAAAAGAACAAGAAGTTTACTGCAACCCAAAAAAGAGGCCATTATGAAGCACGGGCCAACCTGAAAGGAATGGTAACCTGCTGCAGGGGGTGGTCAGCCCAAAGGGACATCACATGAACATAGTAGGGGAACAAACACCCTGACTTAAAACTCTTTCCTCCTCCCATGTCCTGTCCAGGCTCCACTGGCCCAACTCAAGAGGCACAGAAAATAGAGAAAGCCCACTGTCGCAATTCATACAGGTAAGTTTTCCAGGCGTAAGTCTGGATCTAAAGGAAAGCCCGGAAGATATTTTGCACACAAAGGAATAACCACAAGTTAAATGCACTTTAGCTAGGATAGGGAGGTGGTTCTAAAGTGATCTGAAGTGGTGTTATTTGAGCTGGGGCTTTTACGAGAGTAAAGGAAGGAAGTGAGACGCATTATAGAAAGTACAAGGCCTTAACAATTTCTTCTTCCTCTTTTTTTTTTTTTGGTACCAGGGATCGAACTTGGATCCTTGTGCTTGCAGGGCAGGCGGTGGAACCACTGAGCTAAATTCCTGGCCCTTCCTCTCCTTTTTATCAGTTTGAGTATTTTCAGTTACAAATAACAGAAAACTGAACTAGCCTTGACCAAACTGACTTAAGTATGAATGGGGACTACTGGCTCACATGACTGAAAGCCCAGCAGTAGGGGAAGATGCAGACTTGGTGGATACAGGGACTTCATAACAATGTTATGAAGGAAGAGGCATTTTTATGTCACTTCCACTTTGATAGGAAGTGTGCCCTCTTTGGCTTCTCTTGTGGTTGTGGGGGTCTGCAAGCCACACTAGGGGTTACATTTTTCCTGGTTTATAGCCAGCAGTTCAGGTCATTTATCTGCTCTGGAATCAATGGCTAGCATGAGTTAAGAAGTATGCTTATGGCTTCTGCCAATTTAGGGCTCAGTTCTAAAGCTGGAGACATCAAAACAAAAATTCAGATAAGGTGAGGAAGGAGAAGGGGATGCTAGTGTTAAGTAAAACACAATGAATGTTCACTCGTGACACTCTTGCCATACCAGACCTTTTCTAGTTCTTCAGTCTTAAATTCTCCCCTGCCTCAAGGCTTTTGTCCATGCTCTTCTCTATGCGGAAACATTCCTTCCCCCGCACCCTTCATCCCCAATCCAATAAAGCTGACTCTTATATCATCACGTCCTAACTTCTCCAGATCATTTGTGAGTTTTAAATTATTTTGTCTATATATTTATTTTATGTCTAACTCCCCCACTGGACTATAAACCTTACAAAAATAGGAATGTGCTTTATTTTCTTCATAGTTGTGCCCTTAGTGCCACACAGCACTGGCACACAGAAGTCAGCAGTAAACACTGACTGAATGAATGAATAGTGCTAATGTAGCTGACATGTAGTGAATGCACACTGGTTATTTGTATTAGCATAAAAGTGCAAGCCAACGATCACAAGTCAAAGAAAAAGTATTTTGGATGTGCTGGAGCAAATTCATTCATTACATCACTGGAATCATAACTCAAAGTTTATGAATCTATACTTTTCCTACTAAAAATCTCTACCCACTGTTTTCTAGTAATATTGTGTAAGACTATTTTAGGCTATAATTTTTACTTACTAATATAAAACTATATCAATCATACCTTCTTTAAGCTGCATATTTCAGATTCTTGTTTTTTATTTAAAGCTGAAAGTCTTTTGTTTAATTGTATTGCTTCTTGCACTGTAATATGAAAGACATTTAGGAAAACGTACTCATGGTATATTTCAAAGAAAATATCACTAACTTGGACAGAGAAAATAGTGTCAATACAATGTATACAATTACTTAATATTCATTAAATGGTCATTTACTATTACTCATATCTGCTAAGTTCGATTTATTCATGATAAATAAGTCTATTTCAATAGACTTTAATGAATATGTAAGTTTAAACAAGATAACACCTACCATTTTGGTCTAACTTTACATGATTCTCTTTTACCAATCCAAATTGATTTGTTATTGTAGCATAGTATTTCTCAATTTCATTCAGTTGCTTATGATAATCTTCTTTAGCCAGAAGATGGAACTGGACCTTTTGTTCCTATTTTAAAGAATAAATTTTAAAGTTATCCATATAATATAAACATATGCTATGCAACATACAGTGGTAAACAACTCCTCTTAATAATATGCCAAAAATAAATGTCACGAAGAAATACTCTAGAACTACACCACCAGGAAGAAAATGTTAGGAGCTATTACTAAGTCTATGTAAAATAAAGCACACCATTTACCTGTAACAAAATAGTCACCTCATGTAATGCTTCCATTGTTTACAATTTCTTTTTCAAAATCAAGTGACTTTTATTTATATATAAAAAGCTAATCAATCTAGCACTAAAAATAGTGAGGGAGATTAAAGCAACAATCTTGGTACTTGTAAATTTTTTTTCTCTCTAACAGATCATCTGGATAATCAGGACCTACCTAGATCATTATTTTTATTCTTTGTTCTTTCAGTTTGTAAGCATAAATTTGATGCACATTATCAAAACTCAAGTAATTTTTGAGATTATTTTTAATGACCCAGCACCTTTACACTGCATTACAAAATAGAAGACATGGACAATATTTCTGTGACAGGAAGGCAATATAGTGTAGTAGAAAATCCACTTAAACTAGAGACGTAATTGGTAAAAATTGGACCCTACTTATAATATAAAGGTCTCCACTGCTTTCAGCTAACATAGATACTTTTACCATACTTAAGAATAGACTTTAACTTTTGAAAGTTGCTTAGTATGTGTGAAGCCCTGGGTTCGACTGCCAGTACCACCCCCAAAAATTATGTTAATAGAATCAATAATACTTTTTAAAGGCTTTAAAAAAATCTTGACATTAGCAGAATCATTGATTGACCTTAAAACTTTTTTTTAACTGCTTCAGCTTCCATGAAGAACAGTGCAAAAACAAAACAAAAAGAACAGTATAGGCCCATCAATTGGCATTCAATACTTGTCTTCTGAATGAGTTATTGTTATCCTGCAGAGTTCCAACAGTGGGTGTTTGTAGAAGTTACCTAACCAGTATCCATTTCCTTTACCTAATACTACCAGTACCATCATTTATTTTACTGAAATGATTCTTCCTCACTAGTTTCATAGTAATAAAATTGACAAGTTTCATTCTCCCCTATTGAAGGGAAAGGCATATTACCCAGAATAAACCAACTGATCTACCTTTCTGCCATTTCAATCTTGAACAAAAAGACTACAAAACTGAAAAAGTTTGGTGGTGGCCCTGTCCAAACTGGTATGTTTGGCTTTCTATCTCCTGCCTCACAAACGCCAAAGTTACTCTGATCCCCATTCATTCCCAAACATATTCTCCACTCTGGTTGATTGGGCACCTCCTCTGAATTTCTGTTTGTGTAAGTTATCCACAGCCATTTTTTACTATGTAAAAGCAAAGTACAGGTAGGATGGCACAGTAGTTAAAAGTTACTCTGTGCATGCTTAAATCCTGTCTCTGTGATTGAGTTAACATGACCTGGGGCAAATCACTCTATCTTAAAGTGGAGATTATCACAGCATCTCCTTCATAGGGTTGCTGTAAAGATAAAATGAATTTATATAAAGCACTAAGAACAGATCCTACTACATAATAATCACGATATAATGATTTGTTATTCTTCAACTGATAAAGGTATCTTTAAAAGTTTTAATTAACATATAGAATAAGCAGATCTTTCTCTTATATTAATCAAGAACACACAATTTAAGCTGTACCTAACTATACTGATAAGTCTGATGGTAGCCTTAACTTTTTCAAAATTATTTTTTAATGATTTTAACCAAAGTTATAATATAGTCAGTAATGATTACAACAGGTCAGTTCAAAGTTTCTCATACCCTCCTGTGGGCTTTTCAACATCATTACTTGGTCATTTGAATTAGCTGTTGACAAATATACTTAACCCCCAGAAATCTTATAACTGAGGTAGTTACTATTGCAATAGCTAAACAATGAAAAATAATAAGGCATATTCACTTCCTCTAAAATATCATTTAACTCCTGATGGAAAGAATTATAACTCTGAAAGATGTGTAAAAACCCAGTAGGATTTCACTGAGAACTGGTTATATGCCATTTTTTTTAATTCAATAAATTTTTCAATTCAAATATGTATGGAGCTTTCAAGAGAAAACTCTCTACTATATATTAATACATGATCCCAAAAACAGACTTAACTTTTCAACTGAAAAGTGGTAGGGAGTCAATGCTTGAAAAGATTCGCAATTCTGTTAACAACAAAAAATGCAGCAAAGGCCAAAGAGATTTCATAGGCATTTCCTATTCTAGAGCTACACACATTAACTTGTGATATACTCTACTTCAACATCCTTTTCTGAAGCCGAAGTTGAATTCAATAAAAATGTAATTTCATTTTTTTCCACGACATAATTCTGTTTTTCAGATACATTAGCCTACTCAGTGAACATGATAAACACTAACGACTTCCAGATCACATGAGCACTGACAGCTCCTCAGCCCACACACAGCATCTGAACTCAGCTGGCTGCCCTGACAGCTCTGACGATGTATGAAGAAATCTGTTGTTAAGTTTGCCACTAACTGCAGGATTATAATAAGCAGTTTTAAATTCTTTGAGAAACAACAACAAAATGAAATTGGTAATAACTACAAGAGATCTAAGAACATTTTAAAGAATAACAAAGTAATGGCACAACTATTATTAAAACTTTCATATTACATACTATATCAAATAGGAAATAAAGCTTATTTTATTGAGGTGACTAATAATTAAGTACATAGTGTACACTAAGTACATTATGTTCTTTTTACCTCTGTGATAGATTTAAATTAGTTTTTTCTTTTCTCTTTGGTACCAGGGATCAAACTCGGGTCCTTGAGCTTGCCCAGCAGGCGGCAAAACCACTGAGCTAAATCCCCGGCCCAAAATTGGCTTTTTCTTTTACACAACTTTACCATTAAATACAAGACTCAGTCCACAAGAAAATAATGTCCAGATGTATTACTTTCTAAACACATGTGTGCCTCGTTTTAAATTAAATGAGATTAATTTAAAAACTTTTGAAGACAAAATTGATTTCCCATAAGACAATTAGTTATGAATAAATTCAGAGGAAAATATAAAAATCTAAAACATCATATATTCTTAATTTCCAACTTTGCAACTCACTCTTTAAATTCTTTACTATGACCCCAAACTAAATCAATGGAGTTATAAAATTCAACTTTTAAAAACCAATGGCATCTTTTAAAAGATATCTTTACTTTGTTAGTCACAAATTTAAGGCACATACCACTTGGAAAATCTTTACACTGCTAATGTATATATACATACATACATAACATTTAAAATCAGGAAGTTATTTCCAGACAAGTCTTCAGTTTTAAAACAGTCTACTCTGAAAGAAAACACGTGGTTATTCACTGCCATAACAAAATCTCCAATATTGAAACTGCTTTTAATAAAGAAGAAATCTTTCTTACAAATTTTCTCTTCAAAGGAAAGTGATGTATCAAAAGAGAAATAAAATATGACTGAAACGTGACTTGATGAGTTTTTACTGCATTATGCAGTATTAACATACACAGCCATGTGACAGTCACCTATACATTTAATCACACAACATATCATCTACACAGTAATCACCAAACATAACAGGAAAGGTTTTTCTCCATGACCAAATCACAACAGTGGCTAATTTAATGTTGTATAAGTTTCTCTTTAACATGTTTTTGTTGCATTCTTGTTATTGGTAATGACTGATGTTTTTTGAAAAGAGGTTTGAATAGTTTTAGAGAAAGATAAAACTTTTGATTTGTGATGTATTAATCTATCAACACCACCTCTACAAGAAAGTCAGTTTATTGAATTCCCGAAAGACAGAAATTTACTAGTGCTCACCTGTAAGGTATCATGAACTTCTGTTAAAAGTTTCTTACACTATTTTTTAAATCATTTCTTTTAAGACACTAAATGTTACTACTCCTCAAACTCTTGCCTTGACACTAGTGTCTATCTTGGTCCTGTTTTGCACACAGAGCCAAATAATATAAAATAATGATGTACTGCTCTAAAAACGATTAACTTTTAGTAAAGAAAAGACAACATAAATTATATAAGAATGATATAAGAAAAATTAAGAATTATTATGTAAGATAGAGATATATCAAAATGTTTAGAAAAAAGATTATTTTTACTTTTTAAATTAAAAAAATAAACATTTTGTCAGAGTGGGCATAAGATATTAAATGTATGGATCAATATTTAAAATTACTTTAATGAAAAGTGATATAATGCTTTAAACTATCAGAAAAAAACATTATGACTCTAACTCAAATATTATTTTAGCAGGTTATAATTCACAACCACCAAAAGCTTGGAAGTGACCAAAACTAGGTAAGTATACTACATGTTTCTTTGTTTTTTAAAGATTATTAAGCATGAGTTTAATAAAATTTTAAACTGGAATAAAGGACATTTTATGTTGCCTTTGATCTTTAACTTGTAGCTTTATCTCCCAGGTCAAAGGACATATTATTCAATTTCACTATACTTTGTGTAAAATCACTGTTGCGTTGAAGATGACTTTCAGAACAAATGTCATGGTACTTAAAGCCAAACTGGAATCTAGTTTTGCAGCTTCTTAATTAAAATCACAGTTTAAAATAGTCTGACAATATTATTTTATTCTTTCCAGTTGAACAGCAATAGAATTTCACATCTTTTAGTCAATCAAGCTTAACAATCTCTCTATACGCTCTTTTATTTTCTAACACATCAAAACAATTTCAAGAAGCAAAATACTACTTTATGTTTCTATAGTTAATGTCATAAAGAGTCAGAAGCTAGACTCAAAAATTAATTTTACTTGCTTTACAGTCTGCTTCAAAGAATAAAGGTTGAAATAGCATTAACCCACATAAGAAGCTTTCTAAAAATTTAAGTGTATATAGGAGAATTCTCCTCAATCAAAACCACACACACACACACGCACTGGAATCAAATAGAGATAGAAAGGAAGAATATCACAGCAAATATTCCATATAATTTTGTCCTGTAAAAACAAAAATATTTATTTTTTTATATACATGGAAAGAGGAATTCACAACAAATACTTGTTGAACAATGGTAAGCACCACATCTAAATGTAGAACATAAAAGATGAATACCACATCCCAAATGCCACTTAATCTATTTCAATTTTTTATAATAAATAACAACATGTTTGTATGAATATCTAGAAAATATCATAAAAATAAAGGTTTCACATTTTATTTTATAATATAAAAGTACTGCAATAAATTTGTGAAAATTCATTTAAGCTGTACTGAATTGAAATTACAAGTCCAGGCTTTAAAGGTGATAGCAATATCCACTTTCAACTATTCCTAGTTTTTTAAACTATAAATATCACATTTATATTCACAAAAGCACTGTACATCTTAGGTACTAATCCAGGTGGGAGAAATATGTGCTGTGTCATTTCCTTACCATTTCACTTACTTTCTTCTGTAAAGAATATTTAGAAACCTTGAAAAAATAAAGAGGAAAAGCTCATTAAAAGTGTTTATTACAAGTTCCTTCTCACAATAAAATTGCATGCTATAAAATGTGGCATTGTATACAAAATTTTACTTACAATAGCTCTCTTCCTTATAACAATAATACACTGCCCTAAACATTCACACACACACACACACACACACACGCGCGCGCGTGCATCCCCCTAGGTTCTTGGATTACAGCAGTGAACTAAACAGCTTTCTTCCTAGCAAGAGTGGTGCAGACAGACAATAAACCTGAGTGACGGGTACACTATGTTAATGCGGACAGCTACTAAGACAAACACGAAAGGGTAGAGAGAGACCAGTCTAGGGGAGTTCACAGAAGAAATCCTGAACGAACAGTTAAGCATAAAAGTCATTATAAACAAGTAAATCATCTCCAAACCCTGGGTGTCATTAACACTCAGTACTTCCAGATCCTTTTAGTTGCTTTTAAATGCATTTATACTTTAAAAGAGAGACAGGGGAGTGATGATAATAGATGTACTACTTTATAACCTCTTTTTATCTAACATGTGACAAACACCTTTCTGTGACCGGTTAGCACACAACATAACTTTTAACAGCTACAAAGTACCCCACTGTTTCATTTGATCGTAGTTTACCTTAGCACTCTCCGGTTTATAGGTTTACTCGATTTTCAATTTTTTATGTTATAAATTATTCTAAAATAAAATGCTTGTACCTAGAATTTTGTAGTTGTTCACTTTATCAGGATAAATTCCAAGAAGCAGCACCTCTAACATTTGTTCACTTTGTAGGCTTTTAAAAGTTGTTACACAGTCCTCCAGAGTGGCTGAGTTAAATTCCAACCAGCTGTTTATGAATGCTCATTTTTTAAACTGTACATACATTTGTTAATTTTTTTGAGACAGGGTCTCACTGTGTAGTTCAAGCTGGCCTTGAACTCGTGATCCTCCTGCCTCAGTCCACAAAGTGCTGGGATTACAAGTGTGCACCACCACACCTGGCTTAAATTTTACATAAAAATTCAATAATTTCTTCACATTTCCTATGAAACAAATTCTTTAACCTACTGCCATGAACAAGTTGATGTTTTCAGTTCATCTTGATGGGATGGGTAATGTGTGATTCCTTCCTTCAACAAATACTGAATGCTCAGTGTAGGAAAAATATTGATATAGATGGTTGGGGTACAACACTGGCTTAGATTCTCAGCAAGACAAACCATGAGCAATATAAATAAATTAAATAGATGCTATATTCGATACTGATGAGTGCTAAAGAAAAATAATAAACGACAGAAGGGGATTTCATAGGATGACCAGGAAAGACCTTTTGGAGGCAGCACCTTTTAAGTAAAGACTTGACTAGACTATTTCAGCCAATACAAAGCCCTACAGGGATAACACTGGTGTGTTCTAGGATAGCAGGGAAGTCTACATGCCTGGAAAGGGGTAAGCAGGGGAACAGCAGCCAAAGATGAGTTCAGAGATGGGTAAGAGGAGGAGGACCCAAATCAGAATAGACCTTGTGATGCATGCAAGGATATGTTGGTCAGCTTTCTGCAGCTATAACCAAAAACCTGAGAACAACAACTTAGAGCAGGAAAGATTTACTTTGGCTTATGGTCTCAGAAGTTTCGAGGCAGCTGTGGTAAGGCAGAAAAATGGTGGAAAGGTGTTGTGGAGGAGCGCTGGAAGACAGAGGGGAAGAGGCTGTGGACCAGATGTAGTCCCTGAGGCCACACCCATGACCTGCTGCCTTCCAGGAGGCACAGCTTCCTCACTTCCCACCACTTCCCAGTAATGCTAGCAGATTATAGCCTCATGGAGGGGTCACCCCACTGATGAAGCTAGAGCCCTTGTGACACAATCGCCCTGTGAAAAACCTACTGTGACATACATGAGACTTCTGGGGGACATTTTACACCTAAACCATAACACAAGGATTTAAATTTTGAAAGGAATGAGACAGGAAGCCACCAGAGAGTTCCAAGCACAAAGATAACACAGGCTGCAGTACTGATCATGCCCAAAGCAGGCTGTAAGCAGTGTAGGCTGTGAGGAGCTAGCCCCACAACTGGCTTGTTTATAGCAGTGAGTCCAGCCGAAGCCTATGTGCTGAGGTCAGAGTGACTCACATCCAAATTCCGTTCCCACAACTAAAACCTTCTAACTAGAAGGGCAGTGTTCTAATTACAACCATAGATACTCTATTTTGTTCCTAATTCGAGAATGATTTGTCTTTTGTGAGCCTTGCTTAATTTCCATAGAAACCGCATGAACTGCACATCTTTACACATAGTGTTATCCTTGCACATAGCTCTCCTTTACCCCAGTTTACACCAATAAAAATCAGTGGCTTGGACTGGCCAGTGCCTTTGTCAGTTGTACCAGCATTGGTTGTCATGGCTCCCACTTTCTGCCTCTTAGTTCTATCTTTTTAGGTTTTTTTTCCTCAGGTCTGCATCATACAATGAGTAGGAGACTGAAGCCTACTGCAGAGGTTTCCAGTAATGTTTCAGGGGTCCCCAGTAACAGGCAGTTTTTTTCAAAGGACAGCTCTGATGATACATGAACATGAGAAGAAAACAAAAGTGGTGGCAGGAGAACCACTTTACACATTACAGTAATAATCCAGATGAAAGGGGATGGTGAACAGCACTAGAGTGCAAGTAGCAGATGTAGTGACAAGTAGCCAGATCCTAAATACACTTTGCAGGGAGAAGCTAATTTTCCAGAAAGGGGAATTGCAGGAATTTGGTTTTAAACATGTCAAGTTTGAGATGTCTTTCAGAGATCTAGGCAGAAACACCAAATAGTTAATCCCAGCTGGATTCAGGATTGGAAATATACATGTGGAAGTCACTGCTGTGCAGATCACATTTTAAAGACATATGCCTGGGTGAAAGCAGAGTATTTATAAGGCATACAGAACAGAAGCAAAGTAAGATAGTGGTCAGCTAGAAAATTTTTAACTCAAAAGACAAAATTTAAGGGACTATTAGTCTATTACTGAATATTATCTGCTACCATTACCCATAGATAAAACTAATAGATGTAGAGCAAACTTGCCAAATTACTTGAGACCACTGCTTTTCAGACACATAACCTTCACATTCTAGTCCTCCTGAATTACAATCCACCACTCTATTTTATCAATGCCACTAGAGTAATGCCTAATTTATAAAAGTACCACATGGCTGCTTTTCTGACACAAAGTTGAATTTGAAAGTAAGATAATTACACTGAAACACAATATTTTTATGCATGTTATATTTAATGTTTTATTTTTTAATCCTAAAAATCACATACACTTTGGTTTATAATAGCAGATACAGGTATCTGTCTAGTAAAGAAACAAAGCTATAGCTATATTAATTAACATTAGCTGTAGAAGGAAATTTCAAAGATGACAGATACCTACCTTTCTAATGATTATATTACACTTTATGAAGCAAAATGCAATGAAAGTTCACTAAAAGCACACTTTTTTAGAGCAAACCTTATTTTCCTACTAATTTTTTCATTAATTGTACTTTATGTTCCTTTAAACAAAGTCCCTCAAAATACAATGTTAGAACATTTAACCCTTCTCTCTTTCACAATGACCCAGGCCCAGGTCCACGCAGTGAGGCAGGACAAGGTGAGGATCCAAGAAGAAGTGTTGAGGAAGTGATGGCCACAGTGCTGCAGAATAGGAGCCAGGTTGATGGAGGACAGAGGTCCCCAGGGAGGAGAACCCTCTGCTGTGGGGTGCAGCGCAGTGGGAAGACATGTACTTAGCAAGAGCAAGGCTCTGGACTCAGCCCCCAGCACAGGAAGGGAGGAAGGAGGGGCAGGTGAACCCAGTAAAAGGGCGACCTAGCTCGAGGTGTCAGAATCCACACTGGGCAAGGATGGTCTCCACATGAAGAAGGAGCAGATGCCAGAATAACCGAGTGACTACACACAGGAAGATTTATCAAATATGTAAACATACTGACAATAATGAAAGTCAGAAGGAAAGAGTAGACAGGAGAGAAATAAACTAAACTACCCCTGTGCTTGGAGACCATGCTTGGACACGGTTTGAATTAATGGTTCTAAATCAAAGCAGACACAGAAATAAAGGATAACTGTAAGTGTGTGTGCACATGCATGTGTCTATAAATGCTTGCATACATCCCCCAGTTCTGTTTGGAGCTCCTGGAAGCACTGACACCTCACAGCCCCGAGTGGGACAATGCCCAGATCTCATCTTCTGAGTACCACTTTTCTGCTAATAGGAGCCAGTTCAATACAGAGAAACAGTTTGTTCCAAGCCAAGGTCAGGTAAAGTACACCATGATCCTGGAATATTTGATTTTTATTTGAAAGCTGGAAAGTGCTAAAATAATAATGAAGACATGTCAGAGACTAAAAACCCAGCTTAAATGAACTCTTGCTGGCGAAACCAAGGATAATTTGAACATGAAAATAAATGACAGTCATAGATTTTAATCCACTGAATAAAAACTGAGTCCATAATGGTATAAAAATAAACATCAAAAGTTTTGTGAGAAATGAGATATTTATATGGTTTCAAAGTACCTCCCTACCAAATACTCTAAATACAAAGAGGTAAAGGGTAACTTTACAGAGGAGGAACATGTCAGATAGCACCTTAATTATCAAAGTGAACATCAATAATGAAACAAACTAAAAGCATTGTGTTATATGATATAATTCAATAAGAACACAGCATTACTTCTATAATAGTCTTGCCAGAAAGACATAAACCAAATCTAATCAAAAGGAAACATAATACAACCAGAAATTAAGGAATATTCTATAAAATAACTGGTCTGTAATGTCCAAGAGCATCAGTGTCCTAAAAACCGAGCAAACACTGGGGAACTCCTCCAAACTGGAAGAGATGAAAGAGGTACAAGAACTAAATGCAACACTGGATTCTAACCTGGATCCTGCTGTAAAATACTTTGCTGGGACAAGGAGTGAAAAGCAAGTGGGCCCTGGACATGACAGTTACGCACCAATGTCAGCTTCTTGATTTTGATGGCTTGTTATAGTTTCACAGGAAAACGTCCCTGACTGCAAGGAAGACACACAATACAGTAACAGGGTGATGCAGCATCAGGCTGGCAAATGCTTCTCTAATTACTCAGGAAAATAAGTTCTGTGTATTGTATTTCCAACTTCTTTGTAAGTGTAGGATAGTTTCAAAAGAAAAAAATTAAGTGACTTTAAAAACACTGCGGAATGAACTGATGTAAAATGTTTGAAAAATATAACATCAATTAAAAAATAATAGCTTAAGTTCAAAAGAAAGGCAAGGACATTTCCAAACACCTGAAACAAGAAAGGAAACCCAAAGGGAGCGATGAAAGCATGCAAGCTGAAGCTTTGGTGATCCAAGAACCCCACACAGCACAGAGCCAAGGGATCTGGGGATTAAAGAAAGGGCCCAGAAGAGCTGCTGTCCCCGAGAAAGGAGGACTGGAGAAATAGAGCCACCAACACAAAGAAGTGTGGTTCTGTCTGGGTCTCTTGCTCAAAAACAGAGGTTATCCCATAAGAAACTGAACCTCTCAATGTGCAGCTCAAGAGGGAATGAAGAGCTCATATAGAAGATACACACACCCTTAGACAACAAATTAATGGAGCACTGGGAACTGTTCAGCAAAGTCTTCAAGGCTCAGCATGGAAGCAAACCTAGAGGAGCTCTGTATAAAGAATTCACAACACAACCTCACCAGGAAATGGTATCTATCGCTCCAGAGGGGCTCACAATTTAAAATTCATGAGCCACATTAAAAAGGAAGATCTACAACGAGGAAGGATCAGCAGGCAGACATTGCAAGGAGGAAGATTTGTTAACCACCCCCAAATTATCAGAGATAATCAAATTTCAAAGGTATTATAAAATTATTTTAAATGATTAAAGACATAAGAGATATAATAAAAAGTATGAGAAAAGTATAAGATAGTATTAAAAAAGCAGATATGAAAACCAAATAAAACTTCCATAAAAGAAAATTATAGTCAAGGAAAAACAGCTTAATGGAGAAATTATATGACAAAACACAGTTGAAGAATTAGTGAACTAGAAGATAGGTCTAAGGAAATTACATAAAATATCTCAAGTTCACAAAGATAAAGATGTAGAGGCCTGGCATGGTGCATCCTATCATCCTAGCAGTCTGGGAGGCTGAGGCAGAAGACCACAAGTTTGAGCCCAGCCTGGACAACTCAGCAAGACCCTGTCTCGAAATTTAAAAACAAAAGTTGTTTAAAAGGCTGGAAATGTAACTCAGTGCAAAAGGTCCTAGGTTCAATCCCCAGTACTGAAACAAAGAAAAAAGGAAGGGAAGAAAAAAGGGATGCAGGGTGAGAGGGAGGGAGGGAGGGGAAGTATAGGGATGTGTAGGACAGTGAGAAGATCCGAAAATTACCTTCTTACAAGTCACAAGGGAGAAAATACAAACTTTGAGGAAGGTTACTTGAAAGGATAATGACTTTTATTTTCCCAAAACAAATAAAACATAATTTTCACGCTGCAGAAACAAATGTTGTAAATTACAAAAAAAAAAAAACAAGAAAAAGAGGACACTCGGGCCAGGGATTTAGCTCAGTGGTTTCGCCGTCTGCCTCGCAAGCTCAAGGACCCAATTTCGATCCCCAGTACCAACAACAAAAAAGAAAAGAAAAGAAAAAGAGGACACATCCTGGTAATGAAGATAATGACTAATTGCATTTAGAAAGCGGTAGGACTGAGAATGCTTTTTAAAAGACGTAGGGGGCGTATTTAAGTTCCCAGCAAGACTGAGAGGGAGGCAGAGATGCCCCGAAGACTCCCTGACCTCACACCTGCACAGCCTCCCACGGTCGTGTCCCCAGCACTGTGGCATCTTGTTACAACTACTAAGCCCAAGAGACGCGCCACTGTACCCCAAGTCCGCACGCCGGTACGGCGCACGCTGTGGCTCTGGACACCTGTGACGATGTCTACCACACCAGTGCCGGGCACAGGCTTCCCTGCCTAACGATGCCTCGTGGTCTGCTTTATCATCCCTTCTTCCTCCTCCCTAACCTCTGGCAACACTGACATTTTACTGTTTTTCCACAATAAAGTTTTCTCTTTTCCAGAATGTCGGAGATTTGGAATCATGCAGATCAGCTTCTCTCTCTTCCTTGGTAATACGCATTTAAAGTTTCTCTGTCTTCCCATGGCTGGACAGCTAGAGTCTTTTAACACTGACTGACATTCCCGAGTCTGCGGTACCACCACTCTAGGTCATCTCTTCACCACCGGAACACACCCTGATGGCTCCGAGACCTGGAACACGGACTGAGTGCGGCCAGTGTCCGTGTGCTCGGCAGTTTTCAGTTCATCCGGGTTAATACACGGGAGTGTGATTTGCTGCGTCCTTAGTTTGTGAGAAAGTCGAAATGACTCCCGGCAGAGCTGTACCACTGCGCTCTCCCACCAGCAGCTCGGAGAGCTCCTGTTGCTCCCGTCCTCTTCTACATCTGCTGGTGGCGTTGGTGCTCCAGAGTGGTCGTTTTCACTGATGCACAGCAGTACTTCAGTGTTTTGATTCGCATTTTCTTGATGACATATGATAAGGGACATCTTTTCATATGCTTACGTCATCTGTATATCTTTTTTGGTGAAGTGTCTGTTAATATCTTTGGCCTGTTTTAGCCAGGCCTGGGTGGTGCATGCTTGTAATCAGCACTCTAGGAGGCTGAGGCAGAAGGATTCAAAGTTTGAGTCTCAGCAACCTGCCAAGACCCTGACTCAAAATAAAAGCAAATGACAAGGACCAGGATGTAGCTCCATGTGAAAGCTCTGGGTTTAACCCCCAACACCAGAAGAAAAAAAAGGGAAAGTGAAAAGATCTTCAACCTGTTTTTTAGTGGGTTGCTTTCTTATACTTGGGTTTTAAGAGTTTTTTTATACATTTTGAATAGCAGTCTTTTATCAGATGTATCTATCTTTTGCAAATATTTTCTTCTATCTATGGTTTGTCTTGAAGAGCAGAAGTTTTTAATTTTAGTGAAGCCCAGCTTATATCTTTCATGGATCATGACTTTGCTATTGCATCTAAAAAGTCATCAACAAACACATGATCAACTAGGTTTTCTCCTATGTAATCTCATAGTAGTTTTGTAGTTTTTTGTCTTACATTCCAGTCTGTGGTTCATTCTGAGTTCATTTTTGTGAAGGGTATAAATTTGTGTGCAGCACCTTTTCTTTCATTTGTATGTCCACATGTTCCAGCACCATCTGTTGATGAGGATGCTTTTTCACCTTCCCAACTCTGGGACCTTTATTTTTTGTTGTTTGTCCTTCTATTCCTTCTCCAGAATAAAAAATTACTCACGGCAGTCTAAGCACTCCTTACCAATGTATAACTCAAAGCTCTGGGGCCTAATGGTACCTGTGCTCTGCACTAAGTTATTCAGGCATGCAACTCAGCTGAGAGAAATCCCAGCTCAATACCTGGCGAGCACCATACCAGAAAGGACTGGAGGCTTGTGAGAAAGCCTGGGCCAACACCCTGCTCCAGAGAGCTCTGGCTAAGAAGGCCAAGAGAGAAGCTTTTCTTGTACAGCCACGATCATATGTTCCCTGCTCATTTCTCCAAGCACCTCGGCTGGAAAGGTTTTGTTTTTGTTTTTGGTGGTCCAGGGCTCTGTGCACATGGGGCAGGAGCTCTATCCCTGAGTTACACTCCCAACCCAGCTCACAGGAACTGTGTCCAGATCCAGCCACAAGGCAGTCACATGCAAACCCTGGTGAACACTTCAACTGAAAGCATGGGGGGACAAAGCTCCCCCTGGCCAGACACCCCACAGTAGCAGCAGAGAGGAACAGCACAACCATTGCTAACACTGCACCTTTGCAGGTCCACCACAGACTGACACCCCTGACAAGACTGCATGTGAGGGTCACAGAGTGGGAGCTGCAACTCCAGTCTCCTCTCCCGAGCAGCACCTTGACTTGCACCACTTTCTAACCAGGTAACAAGAACCCTGGGCCCCTCGTGACCACAGAGTAACCAGCCAGAGACACTCCAAGGAACAGAGCCTGCATGGACCTCTTTCACCTGAGACCACCAGTCCCCTGCCAGGGTCACCACAGATGGTGCACCTCGGCTGTGATGGTGCTACTGGGATAGAACAGATATGCATTTACATATATAAATATATACGAATATGCAAATACGTTTTTAGTCTCAGACAACCACTATAAGAATTACAAAGGGGATACATTTTAAAACCATACAATCTCAGGCTGGGGATTTAGCTCAGTGGTTCCACCGTCTCCCTCGAAAGTGCAAGGTCCTGAGTTCAATCCTCAGTACCAAACAAAACCAAAAAACCAAAAACAAAAAAATATACAACCCCAAGTCCTATTCATACCCTTCTAAAAATGATTTTTTTTCTGGCTTTTCCTAGATTCACCAATGTTTAACATATTTCCATACTTTCTCGTCTGTATGTTTATACACACATACTTTATTTCCTGAACTACATGAAAGTAACTTACAGCCATTAGGAAACATTGCTCCTCGATATGTCATCGTAACTTTTCTAGTAAAGATGTCTGTCTAACCACGGTACCCATAACACCCCAGGAGATTAGTGTTAGACTCACTGTCATCTCCTATAAAGTCCTGTTCAAAGTTCCCAATTGTCCTATTTTATTTATTTGTTTATTTATTTATTGGTATCAAGATTGAACTCAGAACCTTGCTCTTGTGAAGCAGGCGCAGTGCCACTGAGCTAAATCTCTGGCATTGTCCTAATTTTTATGGCTTTGATTTTCCCTGATCCAGCATCCAGTTTCCCTGATCCAGTTCATATATTGCACATGACTGTTCTCTTTATTCTCTTTTATCAAAAATAAATCTTCTAATACTGCAAGACAGCCATCTTGGAGGACAGCGCACAGTATGAATCTGTCTCATCATCCCTTCGTATTAGATTTGGGTTAATATTTTTGGGCAGAAGCTTACACAGGTAGAGTTGTGTGCCCTCACTGCATAAGAACAGTGGCCCTGGGCAGGCTGCAATCACGATTAGCAATGCTACACTCGATCTTCCGATTAAGGTGATGATCTTCAGGACCCTTCCATTGTAAATATATATTTTGCTCTCTGTAATTAATGTTATCTAAGAATAATACTTGGAAATCACAGGAATATCTTCTTCCCCAACAATCTTTGCTTCACCTTATTTTTTCACAATTTCCACAAGGGCAGTGGAGTCTTCCACCCACTGCCATATCCTGTGCTAGCACACAGTAGACCCTAATAAACATCACTGAGCGAGTCTCCAGTGGTAGAGCACTTCTGTGTCTTCTGTAAGACTGAGCAAGGGCAAAAGTGATGTTTTCTTAGTCTTTGTATTTGCAGAAAATAAACACCATGGTAAGTAGTCAATTAATACTGTTTCAACTTTTTGTTGTCTTTGTTTCCATTCATTTACTGATCCATTTATTTATTTAGAGACAGGGTCTGGCTGTACAGTCCAGGCTGGCCTAGGCTCACTGTGTAGTTCTACTGAGCTCACTGGCCTCTGACCTGTGGTGATCCTGCCTCAGCCTCTTGAGGGTTGGGATCACAGGCTTGAGCCACCACACCTGGCCCTCTAATCTTTTGTTTTGCTTTGTTTTAATTTAATTTTTAAAGACCATGGGTAAATAAACAATACTGTATGAGCATTACTTGTTTTCCTCATCTATAAAGTGTTAAAAACTACAATTGTATTACTATTAAAAATAATAAAAGTTACTTAAATATTTTTAAATAAAAGATGAAGCAAAAATCCTAACTTGACATTTAAGGTTCACAGGAAAATCTATTAAATTATGTAATGTATTGCAACATGAGCTTTTGTCAGCTTTGCTAGCTTACATGTTTAGTAGTGTTTACTGATATTTTGCTAAAACTACAAATTGCTTTTGTCGAGCAAATTACTTTTTAAGTAAAACTAAATTACATTACCTGTAACTCTTTTAATGTTTCCTTCAATCCTTCTATTTCTTTTTCTTTTATTTCTGAAGCAAGCTGATATTTTCCCTTCAAATAAAAAACTATATTTTAATACTTTCTAATGCATAGAACATAAAGGGAAATTTAAGAGCTCAAGGGTCAAAGTCTCTACTTCATAGGCTTGAAACTTGTACCTCTGACAAACTACATTTAATGGCTTCAAAATAGCAAGAGTTACAATGAGGCCTTTATATAATTACAATTATCATGAAATGAAAAATAATAACAAATCACTTTATCAGTAAAGCATTCCTAGGAGAACTTATAGACACTACCTAATTACTTAATTCTTTGTTTTTTTGGTACCAGGGATTGAACTCAGGACCTTGCATTTTTGAGGCAGGCAGTGGAACCACTGAGCTAAATCCCTGGCCCCCATAATAATTACTTAATCCTTAACAGCTAGAATAAATTTACACTCATCTACCAGATTCTGCAAGGTATTGCTTCCAAGACCATAAATACCAAAATCTGAATATGCTTAAGTTTGATTACATAAAATGGCATAGTATTTGCATATAACCTACACATATCTTCCCATATATGTTAAACCATCTCTAGAGTACTTCCAATATCTACAATACCAGAGACAATGTAAATACTATGTAAACAGTTGTCATGCTACACTGTTCACAGAATAATAGGAAGAAAATCTGTGCATGTTTGTGCACATGGACATTTTCTGCCCTAGTATTTTCTGTGAGCAGTTGGTTGAACCTATGATATGAAACCCATAGATAGAGAGGTCCAATTATATTCCAATTAATAAGGTATGAGTGTGCATTTGTATAATAAATACAAGGATAGAGGACAACTTTTTATTAAGCTTTTTTGCTAAAAATAATAAGCTATAAATTATTAATATTATAAATTATATATTATGGGATATATGTATATATATATATATATAATACATAAAAAAAATATTTAGTTCCAGATAAATTTCTAGGTTTGTTGGGAGACATATGCCCTTTCCCAATTGGTAATTCAGATGCAAGTCATTTCAGTGTTTTTTTAAAAAGGTAATTACAGTGAAAAAGGATTAAAATATATTTAATAGAAACATTACAGTAGAATGGAAAGAACACTTAGGAGCTGAAAAAAATCTTGGTTCTAGTCCCAACTTTGTCACAGCAAGTCATTTAATCTTGTTAGGCCTTAGCATAGTATTCTCAACTATAAAATGACAGAGGTCAAATAACATAATTACCTAGGTCCTTTCTATTTCTGAGATTTTAAGCAATCAACATTTTCAGTAGTTTGTTACTGATACTCTTTTCTATTATAGTGAATAAATAACAAATAATAGTTAAGTTCATTTAGGTATGCTTTAAATTAAATTAAAAAGAAATAAATACCTTTTCTTCTTCCAAGGCATACATCTTCATTTGCAACTGATGATTTTAAAAATTAAAATACAGGTAGAATAAACTGTTAGTGATTTATGCTGGTCAGTAAGCCAAGAGAAACATTTTACATTTCCATATTGTTTGAATTTAATATAGCATGAGCATGCTACCTCTACATTCAGAAGATTAAACAATGAGGGTATAAGATGGGGAAAACGCCAGTCAACAATGTAAATGAACAAACTAATTACTCTCGGTGACACGAATCATCCCACAAAGTTTAGTTTTCCCTTCCATGAGTTGTCTTAAATGTCTGAATATTTTATCATACTGCCACATGATAGTATACCCCTTGTGCATCATATTCTGAAGGTAAAAATTTATGAAATTAGCACCATTTGTATTTACACAGTATTTATGTACTGAAAAAAATTTAAATGCATGTGACAGTAAAATAAATAACCTTTTTAAAATAAGGACACTTTACAACAGAAAACCTAAAGTGCATACCAAAGGAAAAATCATAAAACAGGCAGGGCTAGGATAGGATAGTGCTAGAATTTCTTGCCAAAATTGGCAAGAAATGAAAATTTTCTTTGGAATGTCCCTCTATCCTTTTCAGCTCTATCAGTTAGCTTTCTCGTCACTGAGCCACAACCCTAACACCCACAGTTTACAGGAGGAGGGGTTTAATTTGGCTCATGGTTTCAGAGGTTTCAGTGCAGGGCTGGCTGGTGTCCATACTCTGACAGAGGGCATGGAGGAGCAAAGCTGTCCAGTTCATGGTGGCCAGGAAGCAGAGCATGGGAACAATGCCAGAGAGGAAAGGCAGGGACCATATACAGCACCCACGGACACACCTCCAAGACCCACCCAGATTCACCTAATCTGTTACATGTGTCTTAGTCCAATAAAGTTGACATGTCAGGATTAATGGTCACATTCCACTCTTTGTCAACTTCATACCTAAACACATCTCTTTAAACCATATTAATTTCCAAATACACACCATAATAAATTAATAATTCTGTCTAACACAATACAACTATCCTGCCTACAACTGGAACCTCAAAGTCTCAACAGTTTCAGCATTTTTCAAAAGTACAAGTGCAAGTCTCTTCTGAGACTTAAACTCTTAGCTGTGAACCTCTGTAAAAATCAAGAACAAGTTAATAGCCCCAAAGTACAATGGCACAGGGTAAAATTCCCATTCCAAAAGGGAGGAAAAGAAGGACAGAAAGAGTCACACAAAAGCAAGACTGAAATCCAACAGGGCACACAGTAAGTCCTATAGCTCCATATCTGGGCCCAAGGCACACAGTGGTGAGGTGTGAGTTCCAGGAGGCTTGGGCAACCCTACCTCTATGGCCTTGCTGGTTGCAGCCCAATGGCCTCTGTCTTGGGCTGGCTCCACTCACAACCTCCATCTTTCCTTGGTAGATGTTCCACATTCCTGGCATCTCTTATTTCTGGGGTCTCCACTGCATGTTTGGCTTCATTCCCACAGCTTTACACACCGACCTATCTGGGGCTCACTGCCTGGATTCCCAGGCCTTCTTTTGACATCTGGGTGGAAGCTTCCATGACTCCACAACTCTTGCATTTCTGCATACTGATAAAACATGGATAGCACCAAGATCTGCTGCCACCTTGAGCAGCATCTAGGCTCCCTTGGATCATGGCCAAGTTAAGCAGCAGCCTCTGAGTGCCTGGATAGCTGAGCACTCTGAAATGAATGGTGGGGAACCAATTCTTGAGGAAGCTCTTCCCAAGGTGGAGGCCCAGGAACAATCTTCTCAAATGAAAGGGTTACACTTTGCACCTTTGAGCCTGTTATGGGTAGGGTCTTGCAAATTCTTGAGATGCTTTCAAGACATCTTTCTTCTTGTTCCTATACAAAGTACTTGGTCCCCTTTTTGTTTTTTTAACTTGGTTCCTTTTTAATGGAACTATCCTCTTCAGCACCATACCTCTTTTGGCCCCAACTTTGCAAATGGTTCCTTCTGGACCAAAATTTAAGTCTCAAATTTGTCTGCTCTATCTTTTGCACCCAACTCTCACTATAACTCTAGCTAAAAGCAGCCAGCAGTACCTATGTCATAGCCTGAATGTTACGCTGTCTTGAAATTTCCTCAACCAGATTAATTAGTCCATGACCTTTAATCTCAGTGTTCTGTAAAGTGTCAGGATATGGGCAGAATGTAGACAATTTTTCTTCCAGAGTATCACATGTATGGCTTCTAGTCCAACTGCCAGTAGTGGAGTCTTGATTTCCAAATGAAACCTACTTAGCTTGGACTTTACTGCCCACATTCCTATAAACATTCTAGTCTTCTGAGATCCAAACAGAATCACCCATCAAGCTCTGTTTTTAGGTTTATAGCATTCTCTGGCTTCTCTAGTCCGCAGGTCTAAATCTTTCCAAACTCCTCAAGAAAACTAGTTCTGAAGGATTCTAAACCAAATGATAAGGTACAGTCATAGCAATGACCCAATTACTCTGGTACCAATTTTCTATATGAGCCTGATTTCTTGTTGCTAAGACACAATGCCTAACACCTACAATTTAAAGGAGTACAGGTTAATTTGGCTCATGGTTTGGAGGGATTCAGTCTATAGTGAGTTGGCTCCCCGGCAAGAACATCATAGTAAAAGGGCATGGTGGAGAAAAGCTTCTTAGTTTATAGCAGCTGGGAAGCAGAGCAGGGTAACAGTGCCAGAGAAGAAGGAGCTAGGGACCATACTTAGTACCAAGGTAACACTCGTATGACCCACTTGGACAATAATCTAATGTCTAATCTACTAGACATTTCTTAATCCAATGAAGTTGATATATCAGTGTCTTCCTTGTATTCTGAAATGCTTTATTTAAAACAGACACAGAGCTAAGGACATAGTTCAGGAGTAAAGTGCTTGCCCAGCATGTTGCAAGGCCCTGGGTTTGAGCCCCAGTGTGACACTTAATCATTGTGTCAACTTGAATAATAAACACCTATAAGATCAGTTTAGCACAGTTCTGGGTGTGTCTGCATGACTGACTTACTGAAGACAGAAGACACACTGGATGTGGGTGGCACCAACCAGTAGCCTTGCAGCTTAGATGGAATAAAAAGGGAAAGAAGGAAGTCTAGCTTCTGCTTCTTTTGAGGAGCTCTAGTCTTTGCCATCACCTCTGGATATCTATCTCCAGCTTTCCAGCACAGACCCTTCAGCTTCCTGTTATGGACTCACACAGGACTCTGCAGTGAGCTCCAACCCTTTAACTTCTGACTGGCCCCTCCAGCTCTCTAGCATGCACAGACAGATCTTTTGCATTCTCCCACACCTGATTCTGCAGGTGGCTACTGTAAGTCCACCCTGTAAATCAATATATATATATATATATATATATATATTCTGTTCAAGTGAACATTGATCCTCCCAAAAACAAAATTCAAAAACAAAAAGACCCCAAGTGCATTTCTCCTCACACTTTTATGTATCTGCATATTACTGCCCCAAATGCTTTATGATGGCTGAGGCATAGATTAATTTCTCCTAGACAAATATGCTACACTTTTGGCTTCTGGTTCCTTACCTTTTCATTAAATCTCTCATAATATTGGTTAGTCTTACTTCAGATTAAAGGAAGAAAGTCTGTTATTTGTTGAAGCAAATTCACACTCAGATGTAAATTATCAATAACCTTAACCCAGGAGTGATGTAAGTTGTATAGGTTTGTTTCTTTAAGTGCATTTCTTCTTCCAAATACATACTTGTATGGAGATGAAGATAAAAAAGCGGGAAAGAAAGGAAGAAAAAACTTCCAGAGGATATTTTACATGAGCACATTTTCTTAAACTAATATTATCTAACTAGGACTGAAGAGAAATTTGAGGCAATTAAGTAGAGCTACAGAACTCAAATTAACTAGAAGTGTTGCCAGTTATTTCTTCAAAATCTTTTTTTATTCTTAGTTACTGGTGGTTGATATTTAAAGAGGATTCAGTGTTGGGTAATCACCTCTCCTCAGCCTTTATATCTCCCTCCACGTATCTCAGCTCTTCATCAGTGTTGTGACTCTGACTTTGGTAAAGGAGTAATGTAGAAAAGGTAAAATCCTAGGATATTCTAACAGAAGAGAGAAAAAGGGAGAGAACCAGAATGCACGCACTTTACTCACCTAATTTAGGACCAGTGAGATCATATCTCTTCCATCAACAAGAAAATAGTGTTCCCAGTTTCCTTTATGGTTTTATTGTCAGTTATGATTCAAAATAACTTAATTCACTTCCTACTTTTTGTAATACCTTTTTATATTTGTCTTCCATGAGTATGGAAAACAGCTTGTCATAATATTCATGGGAGAGGGAGAAAATATAGTATTTAAAACTGTATAGTTTGTGAAATTACCTGCTTTTTAAAAACTTCCATTGCTTCTTTATGTTGCTTTACTAATGCTTCCTTTTGATTCTGAAGAGTTTCCTATTTTAAAAATTATGAGAAGTTAAAATAAATTCTAGCAACATTTTTAGTTTTATATCTTAGTTGGGTTCACAATTGAAATAAAAGTTAAACATACTTTTTGCACTGTGTACTCTTGAAATACAACTTTAAAAAACAATTTATGATTTTTTTGTCACAGAATCATCATATAAACATTTTGTTTCCAGTTGCTTCTTCATGATAAATATTACACTGCTGTTTAAACTTTTAGGCTCTAGGGCTGGTACAGCACTTTCCCAGCACACATAAAGCTCTGGGTTCAATCTCCAGCACCATAATTTTTTTTTCTTAGCTTCTAACACTTTCTTCAGGAAACTATCTTTTAACCAAAAGCATTAAAATTAACAATCTTAGTATACAACCTGACTATAGTCTTGGGGTTTTCAGAGAAACTATTTTTATTATCAATGCATAAATATTCTCACGGCAATATATTCATCTTTTAGGTTTGAAATTTTTTTTTCTTTTGCAAAATCAAAGCTGCCATGAGGCATTAAAAAAAGACTGCATTTATCCCTTCCCTTCCTTTATGGTGGAAGTTGCACGTTTTATCCTTTAGATCAAGAAGATTTTATACTTTCCTTCTACTTTATCAAAATTAATAATTCTCATCATTAAAAAATAAGTCTAAGAGTGGTAACCACTTTGATTTTTTCCTTCCAGTGCACTACGGAGGGTTTGATCCAGGGCAATTTATGTGCTAGAGAAGCACTGTACCATTGAGCGACATCCCCAACCCTTACTTTTTATTTTGACAGAGTCTCACTAAGTTGGCCAGGTTGACCTTCACCTTGTGATCCTCCTGCTTCAGCCTCCCAAGTAATGGAGATTACAGGTGGGATCATCATGCCCAGCCACTTTCAAATTTTTGTTATTTGCCTCAAGATTCCTAAACAATACATTGATTTAGCAATTTTAAAAGTTTATTTCTTAAGTGGCCCATATGTCCACCGACAGATGAATGGATAAAAAAAAAGTACTTACACACCATGGAGCACTACTCTGCCACAAAGAAGAATAAATCTGAGTTAGTTGTAGGAAAGTAGATGCACCTTGAGACCATGATGTTAAGTGAAGTAAATCAGACACACAAGCTTAAATATGACACAGATTCTCTTACATGAGAAGCCCAGAGAAAGGAGATCAAGAGATGGGGGGGTGGGGTGTGGAGAGAAGGAAAAAGAGATGAAAAAAGGAATTGGGATGCGTTACGTACATGCACCAGCCTCCCACAGGGAATGTAAACATTAGGTATTACATACATGTATTAGTGAACTAAAATGAAAAATTTAAAAGTTTATCTATTGGCCTCCTGCTGTATTGTAAGTTTAGTTTTCTTATACAAGTATTACTCTAAATCTCCTCCTAGTCTTCTAACAGTTATATCAAAATTATGCCTGGGCCGAGGATTTGGCTCAGCGGTTCTGCCACCTGCCTCACAAGTGCAAGGTCCCAAGTTAGATCCCTGGTACTAAAAAAAAAGAAAAGAAAAGAAAAAATTATGCCTGAAACCAACAGTCTGTATTTACACTGTTATGACTATGTAATTATTTTTCCATACTAAGCCACATAGTATAACATTATCACTTTTTCTCATTCTTTGTTTTTCAGGTTCATAATTACTTGAAAATATTTTAAGCCCCATAGCTAACTTTAAAAAATAATACTGCCTGTTTCCAGATCTGTATCAACTGGCTCATATTCTCTGATGAAAACAAAAGAATGAGAAAGACAAAATGAGAAAACAGCTTAGAAGAATAGCTTAGAAAAATCTCCAAATCCATAGGAAATGGATTTAGAAAAGCTGTAGGACAAAATCTCTCAGAAGCTATCCCCAAAGTTCCTGCTATGAAAGTAGAATAGACTTTAGTCCTTCCCCCAAAGAAGGGAAGAATGAAGGAGTCCATTGGAGACTTCAGGAATGAGTTCTTTGGGGACAGATTCTGAAAAATTGACCCCCAGCTCTCTCCTTTTTGTGAACAGCCTTAGATCCAAAAACAGGGAATTCAATATACAATAAGAACCCCAAATCCAGACCTTCAAAAAGGCTTAAAATAAAAGCCACTAATAACCTGCTGAGCTTACCAGTAAAACAACTGAACACTCCCACTGCAGTTATCAGGCAGGAAGAGGGGCACCTTGGTAAAGCCACCTGTAGAGGTGCACAAGCAGATAGGACACTGGAGAAATAACAGCCCTGCTCTAACTAAGGATACAAAGGGAAAAGTTAAATGGGCACATCAGTGACTGCCCTGGGAGGAAACTGTGCACCCATTTCTCATTTTGTCCTCAAACTCACAGAGAAAAATGTTCCTAAATACTTGAAGCCTCTTCCTCAGAGTCGGTAAGCTACTCCAACAGTGGGCATCTCACAGCCCACGGGCCCAAGTGCTCTGGCTTGCAAATGTTACCTCAGGTCCCCAAGACAGAGATCTTACTTCTCCTTTATGACACCACATCCACTAACTACACATAACTACTATGGAACCTTTTTTCCAGCACCAGGGATTTTGAATCCAGTACCTTCACTCTAAGGTATATCCTAGTCCTTTTCTATTTCTGTTTTTTATTTTTGAGACAGGGTCTCTTGCCAAGTCACCAAGCTGCCCAGGCTGGGCTCAGACTTGTGATCCTCCTGCCTCAGCTTCCCAGAGTGCTGGGATTCACTTCTATATATGTTACTCATCTTATCTAAGAGTATATACATACGTATGTACATACATAGAATGCACTTTACATACAATATACATAAATATCTGAATGGAAACAGGTTAAACATTTTATCCCTTAATAAAAAAAAGATCATATATACCAACATAGGGAAAGAGATTGAAGAGAGTGCCTGGTAAACTTTCTTCCTACAAATATTTTAATGATCAGCAACTTCCTAATACCTCTCTCTTTGATCTCTATTTCTAATAAATGTTGTCCCTATAGAAACTTTTTTTAAAACCCAATACTCTTCCTATTACCCCAAGAAAGGGAAATCCATGACAATCTTATCTTTGAGCACTGGCTTTGGCACAAGCTGACTTACTAGACACTCTCCATAGAGTAAACTTAGGCTTAATCTTGTCTGTTGGCAGGTCAGTTTTTGAAACTAAAAAGGGAAAATATCAGGCAGGATACAGTGCAACAGTCTCAACTGACCCCTATGTTGTGATTCCTTAGGAAAAGTAAAATCAGACCAGATCAAAGAACTCACTCTACTTGGCAAAGCTTGCCCACTGTTGAGAGAAAAGAGAGTGAACACGATAGCAGCCATGAGACGCCCATGGTTTTGAAATACTGTAGAAACAACGAAGGCCTCTGAGCTCAGGAGGAATCACAGCCTCAAATGATCCATGAGTTTCAGTGCTCTTGTGCTCCTTAAGGAGGAGCTACCACGAATCCACACTGAAAGGGGCAACACAAAGGCTGAGAGAAATGCCTCAGCCAATCTTCATGTTACATGGCCCCAAAACCCACCATTCCCCAAAACCCAAAGTCGGAGAGATTGGAAAATACTACTTTGAAAAGCCCATACTGGCTCCAGAGTCTGAAAACAAACTAAGCAAAGAAACAACAACAACAACAAAAAGATGGTAAATTACCAAAGGAAATCTCTTTCAGGGCAGACACTTGGTGGCACCAGAGCACCTCAATGGACTTAATAAAAATTTTACATGCACTCACCCATCAGACCCAAGGACAGATGGAAAACTATCTTCAGTTAGCACTGATGGCAAGTTTTTCTAAGATTGCTGATGGTGTCCCTGATGCGCATCTCATCTGTCACTAGAACCACCCTATGAAACAGTTATCCTTCTAAATACAAACCTCAACATCCCTACATACGGATTTCCTAAAATTGACCCCTGTGGTGGGTTCTGAATTGTTCTCATCAATGTTTTCTTCTTCTAGAATGAACTGAAACTTCTTGCCTGAGAGCTGAGATTTAAAAAAAAATTCTGAGATTTAAAAAAAACAAACAAACACATTATTTGATGTTTTGTTCCCAATCTGAGAATTTCCAGGAACAGAAGCACTCATGTTACCAGGATCGCTATTAGAGAACTTGGAAAAGCCTTGTCATTTACTGAGAAGCTCACTGCCCCCATCATCCTCAATCTTAAGGCAAAGTAGAAAGAGCTAATGATGTATTACTTTGTCACACCTGGACTTCCATTACCTCTACCTCATAAAACTGTAACAGCCATTTTTCCCTGCACTCACTGGTTTTCACCAGACATATTGGGTAGAGGTTGCCGCTTCTCTGTTTGAGGCATTTCCTTACTTCAGACATGCAACATGCTTCACAGTCTTACAACCAATAAATATGCTCCATTTCCTCTACATAACCTAAAACTCAGCGGTAAGTCTTCTGTAAATGACCCCCAGATAAAACAAAACACCCTAAAACCATTTTGGGAATAATTCTATAAGGGGCTTTGCTAGCACAGAAGCTAACTGCAGGGTACAGACCCTTGGAGTCATGGCTCCTAGAGGAGCAGGTACAAGGTTTCATCTCCAGCCCCTGATATGCCATCCCATCGAGAGACTGAAAACTAAGGAGTCTGAAGAAAACCTCAGAAACAGACCGTCTTCAGAAAGAAACCGCTTCTACCAACTCAGCACTCAATCAGGGGTTGACAAACTATCACCTAGAGGCCACATCTGGCCAACTATTTATTTCAGTTTGGCCTACAAGCTAAAATAGTTTTTACACTTTTAAATGGATAAAAAGAAAATTATCAAAAGAAGACTAGTACTTCAAGTCACTTTTGTATGAAGTTTAAATTTCAGTGTCCATAAATAGGTTTACTGGAACACAAACACACATATGTTTAACATGTTCTAACCAGCTTGAACCACTGGTGTACACACATGACTGTCCCATCAGGTGGTACAAATGGACCTAATTACTTTTACTGGTCTTTTTCCTAATAAAATTAATAAAAAGCCACCCAATGGGATAGTCATGCACATACCACCAGTTGTTCAAGCCACCCAGCAGCGAGATGTATAAGTCATGGCCTGTCATGAATGAATTCAATACTCCTCGTGGCTGCGTTCACACCTGCACAACAGTGTGGAGTGGTTGTGACAGAGCCCATAGGCTCTTTACAGAAAAGCTGACCCCAATTCAGATAATGAGAAGCACACACTGCAGCACTCTGATTTGCAAGCTTTTGTTGTTTTCCTAAGTATTTTATTTCCTCTTAATTAACCCAGAACCTTAAATGAGCAAACATATTATTTCTTAGCCATGACAAGTCCCAGGTCTTTAGTCTTAACACAGCTCTCTGCATTCTTGGCCACTCCATATATGAGTTCAATGCACAGAGTGTATTTGTGATGAAGTTTGTGATTGGGAGGCTTCCATTCTCTTGGTTTAATTTGGGTATTCTCAGTTGCTGTTGAGGAATGATCCAGGAAGTCTAATAATATTTTTTCTGCAGTATTTTTCCAGTAAATATAAGGCTATAAAAACTAATCAAATGGTATCACTGTTTCAGGTAACTACTGCAAACATTTATCTGAGACAATAGTTTATTCAGGTAGACATATGGTTTATCAAGCAACAGCCTAGTCTCAGAACTAGCTCCAAGACCCCAGCGATGCTATATTCACCGGTGCTAAATTTACACTGTAAGATTTCCCCAGCCCCAATCCATACTCTGCCTTAACAGATCTGCCTAAAGCTATCTGAGCCTAGACCCATAACTCTACATATTCCCCTCCCCATACACCCCTTCCAAAACAGCAAGCTCCCCTAAAGTGTTCACACTGCCATGAGTTCTAATAAACACAGCTGCTTTTCCACAGCTTATTTGGTACTGTTTTGGAGAATGCAACAAGGTAGTTAGAATTTACAGTGGCAACAACACATGAAAGTTTCTGTATTTGTACAAGTTTATAAAGTAGTATAGGAATCTAGTTTTATTTTCCTTAGATGGAACTCAGCTGTATTACCATTTATTGAATAATATAGCCTTCCTTGTTGATTTGAAAGTCACCTTTATCATTCACTAAATTCTCTTACATATTTTATTTCCTTTATTTAGTTCCACTGAGTAACTGTTCATATATATAACAAAGCTATTTTAATTATTATAGTTTAAAAAATGTTTAAGAATCGATTGTGACTATCTTATCCTCTTCTTTTTTTTAAAACTTCCCCAACCACTCTTGCATGTTTATTTCCACATAAACCTTAGAATCAGTCTTAGTGCCCCAAACATGCTCTTAGCACTTTAAATTGGATTGTATTAAACTTAGTGATTAACGTAGGAATTGCGGTAACATTATACCGTTGGTCTTCCATGTCCATGAGAAAGATACACTCAGGTGCAGGGTCACACGCCTGAAGATTCAGCTAGCTACTCAGGAAGACAAGGCAGGAGGATCACTTGAGCCCAGGAGCTGAATAGCCTAAACAACACAGCAACATCCCAATCTCAAAATAAGCAAACAACCAAAAACAGATATGATTTTACAGTTTGAAATCTGCTTTGAGCTTTGGTTTTTACTGAGCATTTATCTGTTCTTTCCACTGACAGGTCTGTAACACCTCATATCACCCAGCCCTGGTTCATTCCCACACTGTGCAAATCTTGTGGGTCTGTCCAGCCTCAAAATTTCAAACATTTCTAGTTATATCTAAACTCTGTCATTTGAATTCTGATTCTCATCTGTTTGCCCTAAGTTCCTGTTTCAATATTGCCAAATGAGGAGGAGAAGGGCCATCACTGTAAGCTTTCATTTTTTAGCTGGTGAGAGCACTTGGACAGGAAGGTATAGAAGGCACCATCAAAAGTGTTTCAGTACAGACAAAGATACACAGAAAATCAGAGCCTCTGCTATATTGTCAGTTTGGTTACATTGTGTAACAACCCCCTGGGAAAACATGGTACTAGTTCTGAATCTTCACTGTTTTCAAGATGTCCTGTTCCCATTAATAGACAGTGTGTTTCTTGGACATAAAATAACACAGAGACATTTTCAGAGTTATCCTCAGTGTTACAACATCAGAATACCTAAACAAAATTTTTATTCCCAGTTTTCAAGATGCTGAAATTCTCTTGAGGCCTTCTTCAAATAAAGCACTAGCCCCAAATAGTTTTAGAAAATTTTAATTTTTTCAGTAAAAACCAGGCACAGTGTGCATACTTGTAGTCCCAACTACTTGAGGGGTCAAGGCAGGAGGCTTACAAGTTTGAAGCCAGCCTGGGCAACTTAGCAAGACCCTGTCCCAAAATAAAAAGGAGAGTGGGTAGAGGGCCCCTGGGTTTGATTCCCAGTACTGCCAAAAGAAATTTTGTAGTGAGGATTAGAATGTATTTTTAATAGATGTTTAGAATGCTAATTTGAGGGGGTAAATACTTACCTTTTGCCATTTAAGTTCTTGTGTTTCCATAATAATTTTTCCAATCTGCTCTTCATACTGAATTTCTGCTTCCTGAGTCAAAAAGAAAAAGAAAATTGCTATGAAAATTACAACTTTGAGACATTCCAGTTCAGCTCTTTCTAGGGAAACAGAACAGTATCTATCTCCAGGAAAGCCCATACAGTGGACTTACTACCTAAAGACTTTAACTCAATTATTTTAAATATGTTTAAAGAACTAATAGAAACCAAAATACTAGTCATTAAAAAAACAGTAAGAGAATGTTAACCACAAAACAAGTTTATATTCTCAATTTGACAGAAATGGACCACTTCTTTAAAAACCACAAGCTACCAACACACAACAAAGATCAGATAAACAATTTAAATAGCCGTGTAATCATTAAAGAAATTGAATTTTTAATTTAAAGATTCTTCAAAAAGAAATCTCCACACCAGGAGAATTTTGCCAAACATTTAAATGATAAAATTATATCAATTGACAGAAAAAAACACTTGACAAAATCCAATATGTATTCATGATTTTAAAAAAGCAACTCTCTGCAAGTTGGGAATAGAGGAAATTACTTTTACTTTCTATAAAGAGCATTTACAAAAACTCTACAAGTTATATGAATTACATTTAGAGAAAGACAGAAGGCTTTTGCTCTGAGATCAGGAACAACAGAGGGATGTCTGCTCCCGCTGCTCTGGTTCTACATAGTGCTGGAAGTCTGACCATTGTGAGAAGGCATGAAAAACAAATACATAGACCAAAAAGGAAGAAATGAAGCTGTCTATTTGAGATGACAGGAATGCACACAGAGACAACCCTAAAGAACCTACAAAGTCTCCCAGATCTAATGAGTCTGGCACAGTCACATTGAAGCTGAGCTCTAAAACCAGGTCTGGTGCCTGATTCCCTAACTTCATGACTGGTGTCTTTCAAGCCCTATGTGCTTTTTTAAATGAATTAGTTTCCCGGCTTCATTACACACCTACACACACAGGCATGCACACACACTTATGCTACACTACTCAAAGACAAACTTTTATGAAAGTTGTCTCATTTAAAATGCTTTCAACAGCAACAACAAAACTCAACCCATATGAATCACAGGAGTTCTCTCACATGAAAAAGGGATTAAAAGGAGAGCACTTGTAGGATTACTTCAGTGGCTAACTCAACAACATCATCAAGAGTTGCGATTCTGCCCATCTTTCTAGTTTGCCATTGTCAAAGTGATTTTTGTGGATGCACAATGGCTACCACAATTGCCAGCATAAGAGTAATCTGCAGTAGAAAAAGTACATTCTCTTAATAAAGGGTAATACAAGCTTCTCAACACACATCCTCCAATCTCACTGCCATAACTACCATACACACCTACTCAGAGGCCAGTCATCGGAGAGGACACACCCTGGACCTTCACATGTGACCAATCCCACTGAGAATTTACCTGGCTCACAGTGATGAGAAGTGAGCCCTAAGACACACTCAGTTGCCTCTAAACATAGAAGAAGGGGAGAAATAGTACAAACAATGCGTGCTATGTGAGAAATGAAGTTAGGAGAGATTAAGATCTCTTTCAGTAATATATAATATGTATTATTCTCTTGATATGAATCAAAACACATTGGCCAGGCATGGTGGCATGTGCCTGGCAAACCCAGCTCCTTGGGAGGTTGAGACAGGAGGATTTTCAGTTCAAGGCCAGAAGGCCAGGCTTGGCAACGTATAGAGACTGTCTCAAAAAAATATATTTTTAATTTGAAAGGGTAATTATATATACATTTGTTGATGTGTATAGTATACACATCTCTTCCCAAAGCAGCTGGACCGAAAATGGGCAAGATCTGCTTTCATCATGGAGGTGTGGCTATACACTTCCTTTTTAGTGGCTAGAGTAGATTCTGAGATCTTACCATGATCTACCACTACTACTGTTCTAAGTATTTTATATGTATTGATTAGTCCTGGATATAATTTTACAAGGCAGATATCCTTAACTATTGTGATTTTATAGATGAGGACACTGAGGTAGCAAAAGGATAAATAACTTGCACAAAGTCGCACAGTAGGTAAACAGCAGAGTCAGTATTTGAACCCAAATCACTTGTCTCCAGAGTCTCTTAAATGCTGCATCACTTTATCTTCAGGAGACTGTGGATGCTGCAGAAGAGTGCAGATTGTTATGATACACTCCTTCCCCTCAGCAACTTCTGCATTCATCCTTCACGTCCCACAAAAGATATGCCACCATTCAAAATCATTTACCTATGCTAAATATGCAAGTAGATTCTGATTTTTGGTAGAACATTTCAAGATAAAAGCTAGAAACATATGTTGCATGAAAAACAAAATAATTTAAGAACTGCTTTGTTTTGTTTTGTTTTTTTGGTACTGGGGATCGAACTAGGGACCTTGCACTTGCAAGGCAGGCACAGGAACCACTGAGCTAAATCCCCAGCCCCTAAGAACTGCTTTGAATGTTTTAATACTGATATTTTTCTATATCAGAAATCCCCATAAGGAGATTGATTCGCTAATGTGAAAACAGCAGTTGAAATACTACTGAGAAAGAGATTTTCCTAAAAATGAACATTTAAGCTATCCCATAAATATCAGAGATATCTATCATGAGTACTTTTTTTAGGAAATCAGACCAAGAAACTATCTGGAAGAGTACTTAGTATTTTGTTAGACAACATGAGAAACTGAATTGAGCAATTTTGTAGGAGTGGATTATGAGTTTGTAAAGGACAGTGAAAGTGCCCAGTTATAGTTTGGGCTGCTTGGACATGTGCCTGCTGTATGTACTATGTCCCTAAATCTGTTCAGGGTCAAGAATTGAAGAGGTCTGACCAATACACAGCCCATCCTGTAAAACTACAGCCTGAAGCAAGCACTTTAAAAAATCATGACACTTTCTAAAGGTTATAAAGAGTAAATAAACCATCAAATTACTCCTCTTTTATTGTTTTTGTAAAAACACTTAAATCCTTGTAGTCCTAAGGCATCTAATAAAAAATGAACACTTTTAAAATTCTATAGTCTATGATACTTTACTGACGTTGGAGATGGGATTTTCTTACTAAATTTAATATATTTTTCTCATTGACAATTTCACAGGAATTTTTATTAAAAACTTTTAAAAGCTGCTTGAAGAATGGATAGAAGAAAAACATGAATGTTCCAATAAAAAAATAATTTTTAATAGAAAGCATGAAATTAAATTAAAATCCTAATATAGTAGAAGCATATATTAGTGCTATTTGTTGGCGATACGGTTAACATTCATTTTGTCAGTTTTCCATGTAGCACAAAGATATATATTCTACAATAATAATCAGAAAGGGATATGATTCCACTCAGCATAACTAATTTTATGGGCACTGAAATGCTGCCTAATGTTATTTACCACACATTTTACCATTAAATGCCTAGTTTTCCCTCACAATTTCCTTAGGAAGCCACTACTTCAGACTACTGAAACTCCACTGAATTTTATTTGTTATTTAGAATTTGAAGACTCATGCCTATTTAAATATTTAACAGATTTAATGTGCTCTTTTTCTTCTTAATTGTATTGATACCTGATGCATACTACGTGATAGCCCAGTTAGCAATTTGCATGGCATGTTGTACTTATTAAACTTTCAACTTTTCCTAAGGTACAGACTGAGAAAAAATGGTTTCTCAAGTTTATCAGATAAATGCAGATCGTAATAGTTTAAAAGTTTCATGGTAGCTGGGCATGATTACCCCTGTAATCCCAGTACTCTGGGAGGCTGAGGTAGGAGGATCCCAAATTCAAGCCCAGAATGGGTAACTTCCTGACTTATTAAGACTTTATCTAAAAATAAAAAATAAGAAAAAGGGCTGAGGATGCAGCTCAGTGTGAAGACCCTGGGTTTAATCCTCAGTACCACAAAAAAATAAAAGTTTCATGTACAGGTCTTTCATCCCCACTGTACAGATGATTTGGATCAGAAATATATTTTGTTTAAAGACTTTCAACCCACTTCCCATTTTAGAATCTAATAGATTTCACATTAAAATCTGGATATCTAGGGGCGGGGCCAGGGATTAAGCGCAGTGGTGCCGCCACCTGCTTTGAAAGTGCAAGGTTCCGAGTTCAATCCCCGGTACAAAAAAAAAAAAAAAGAAAGAAAGAAATATGGATATCTAGTTTCTCTTTAAGAAGATATAGGCTTTCCAATTCAACAGAATTTCTACTCTACTTTCATCATATGCCAACTATCTGAATTCTAGAGAAAGCTGAATTTGTAACCTCTGTTATTATTGATCATCTCTCTTCCTTATCACTTAATCTATGGATCTATCTGACAAGGGCATTTATCAGAAATAGCATCTAACTTCTAAAATGTACATACTGTGGATTCAATATAAACTATTTTATTGATTCATATTGTTAATTTGTAGATCATTATTAATTGAAAACATTCCACTTTTTCAAATATTATCATTAACAATTTAGGTACATTAGAAAAAAATGAGTAATGTCCTCTCTTTTGTTAATTACTGTAAAGCAATGGAACATGGAAATTAAAAGGTCTCTTTCTTTGGCTTTATCAATTGTGCTTTCTTATTTTGACAAGAGCCTTTAAACTATTAACCCCTGACAGTATAGCATGATCTCTGTGGGCTACATTATGCCTTCCAGCTAACTTCCTATTATCTAAGAGTTGAAGAGCATTGGAAAGGAATAGGGAGAGCTGAATACCAGTCTCCTGTTTAGGCTTTGGATTTTAAATTGGACTAGCAGCTATCTTAGATTATTTTCATCTCAAATTTCATTATCCTGCAAAAAAGTCTGATAACTTAGAATACTCCAAGTTCACAGAGAGAAGGGAAGAACAGGGATGTGATTCTAGTAGTCAGCAATTGATATTTCCTTAGAGAAAGAGAAATTGAGGCAGTTCTACCAGCAGTCATGTGGAGACAGGCTTTGTGTTCAGGCCTCACCGAGGAGGAACCCTAGCAAATACATGAGGATTTTAGTTGGAAGCCCAAAGAGCTACACTCTGAAGTAGACAATGGAAATAAAC